AACATTATTACGCTTGTGGTAAATATGGGTTCGATTTATGACGGCTCTCCAGGAAGCCTATCAGCTTCCGATCATTTTAACGAAATCGTCACGGTAACGTTTACTCACTGTCGTTGAATTAACGTAACACAAACCATTACTAATTTGTTGCGAAATTGATAGTCGTCAGTAAATTCTCCGCGTTGTATGGGACCCAAAGGTTCAATAAATTCTTCCCAAAAGCTCGAAAACCACATCTGTTCCATTCCACATTTATCACAATGACGTAAAAATATTGAATTCCATAGTTTACCCTACTCAATCCCGTAATTAAATTGTGCTTTGTGTGTTCAGATAGAGACCGCCTCTGTGGTCTGGTGGTCAGCGTTCCTGGCTACAGATCCAGAGGCCCGGGTTAGATTTCCGGAGCTACCAGACTTTTTCTGAGAAGTAGTGGGTCTGAAAAGGGGTGCACTTAGCCCCGTGATGATAATTGAGGAGCTATTTCAAGGAAATATCGGCTCCTGTCTAGAAAACCGAAATTATCGGCCGTGGGGATTCGTTGCGCTGACCACGCGACACCCTCTATCTGCTAAAGTTCGCACTAAACTTCGCTGACAAGCGGCGGGCTCTCGGTCGGTATAGTTCGCTCACGGAGTTTGTTTTGTTGTTTGTGTTCTGATAGAATACACGCAGTTTTCCGCACAACGTCCAATTGACGCAGCTGCTGTGAAGTAACACCGAACAGTTCGATTCAGCAACCGAATCTGGTTAACATAATACAAAACTCTGCCGCTAGATTGCGAGTAGCCTGCGACCCGTTCACCGATGTGTCGTCGAAACTCCGGCAGAGCGCGTGTGAGAGCTGTAGGATGGGAGTTGTTCTTATCCTAGCATAGGGGTCTCCAAACTTTTCGAAAAGCGGGCCACATTAGGTAATTCAGCACTCTCAACGGGCCAGAAAAAATGAGAAATTAATAATTATATGAGTTTTAATAGGATGGGATGATATGGATTGGATAGATCTGGCTCAGGATAGGGACCAGTGGAGGGCTCTTGTGAACACGGTAATGAACCTTCTGGTTCCATAAAATGCTGGGAAATTCTTGACAAGCTGCAGAATCGGCCGCTCCTCCAGAAGGGCTCAGCTCCATGAGTAAGTAAGTAAGCAAATACAAAGTATGTGAGAATAAATTATCATATATTAATGACAACAGACAGTAGCAGCAAATGCTCATATTTTCATCACAAATTATAATAAAACAACTAATGTGAATGATGGAACTCTTTTTGCATTCTTAAAAGCTGATTAAATTGAAGTTCAAATTTAAAACGCTAATCACAAGTAGCGACTTTAAATGTTCATCGGATAAATTTGCCCTGTATTTCGACTTGATGTACTTCATCTGGGAAAAAGTTTGTTCACACAGATATGTCGTCCCAAAAATGGAGATATATCACAAGTAGCGACTTTAGATGTTCATCGGATAAATTTGTCCTGTATTTCGACTTGATGTACTTCATCTGGGAAAAAGTTTGTTCACACAGATATGTTGTCCCCAAAATGGAGATAAATTTACAAGCAAATTTCTTTAAATTTGGAAATTGCTCAGAGTTCAGAGATTTATAAAATTCGATCAAATTTCCTTCCTTGTATTTGTCTTTAATATGATGATTTTCCCGAAGTTCAATAATTTCCATTTGAATTTGACTTGGGACATCTGCAGCATCACAGTCAAACGGATTTTGAAACAATCTAATTTCCTGAGCACTGGAATCCAAATCAGAAAATCGCTCCCGAAATTGTTCTTTCAAATCTGAAATGACTAAATTTGCAAACGAGGAAGGAAATTCTGCTTCACCCTTTTTATGCAACTCTGCACAGTATAGCATATGAACAAAGTTACAATTTTTCACTTGGCTTTCCAGAAGTATCAACTTTGCTCTGAATGCCTTGATAAGTGCAAATAAATCACAGACTAAGTTATTTTCACCCTGCAACTTTAAATTCAAATTATTCATATGGTTCACAAGACCAGCAAAAAATGCTAATTTCCAAAGCCACTCAGTATCTGATAAAAGTGGTTCGTGATGGTTTTTCTCGGTAAGAATATACCAGTTTCATTCCTGAGCTGAAGGAAGCGCGAAAGAACCTTTCCACAGCTAAGCCGTCGAACTGCAGTATTATATGTCAGGTCAATAAGCTCGAAATCACATTCCTCGAGAAAAGACCGAAACTGGCGATGGTTAAGTGCATGACAGCGAATGAAATTAACGATACAAATAACAGGTCTTAAAACAGAGCTCATATCGTGTTTTCCACAAAGTGATTGTTGGTGCATAACTCAGTAAAGAAACATTGGCTTTGATATTCGTGCATCCTCACAAGCTTCTGTGATTTGGCCAACCAAACCTATGTTTACACCACACATGTTTTTTCCTCCATCAACTGTCACGCACTGCAGACGGTTCCATTCCAAATTATATTCTGTTAGTGTTTTTTGTATTTCTTTGAAGATATCATCTCCTGTTGTAGTGCCATGCATGCTGTGAAGTGACACTAATTCCTGTGTGACATTAAGTTCATCATCGACGCCACGAAAAAATACTAATAGTTGAGAGGTATTACAAACATCAGCGATTCATCCAGCGTGAGAGAATACCAACTGAAACACTGTGCTTTGCCTACAATTTGCTGGACAATATTATTTCCCATATTTTCAATCCGACGAACAACAGTAGTTGGCGCAAGACTTATCATTTTAAAAAGATTAAATTTTTCGGCGCACAGCTCAGTCACTGCTTCCATCATACACTCTTTGATGATATTGCCATCAGTGAATGGTTTTCCTTTTTTAGCCAACACATAAGCAACCTTATAGCTTACCAAGGTTAAGGCTTCATTTTCTGATGTTGCTTTCATAAATAAGTCTTGCTGAGAACGCAGACAACAGCATAATGATTGAAATTTATCTGAACGCTGCTTTTCTTCAAATTGTGAAAACGTTGAAGCATGCTTCGTGTCATAGTGACGAAATATATTGTATTCTTTCAACACAGCAACAGCATCTTTACATACCAGACATACAGCTTTATCCTTTGAATTCGATTGTATGAGGAAATATTTTACACCCCATTCTTCATTAAACGCAAGCCATTCATCGTCAATTTTTCTTTTCTCCATCCATGTGAAAACTTGAAAAGAGAATAATAATACAAAACTAATAATAAAACGAACAATAAAAAAATAAATAGTCTAGTAATTTTACTATGTACACTCTTGTTAATTTAAAATGTTTAAATAAATAAATTTATATATAATTATGAAATTATTAAAATTACGAGATCCTTGTACAAGCAAATATATGAATAAATTTATTCAATTACACATTGAATAT